CCAAACTCAAGGCGAGCAGCCTTGTGCTCCTTAGTCAGTGGCAGTGTACGATCCATTTTAGAGTAAAATAGGAAGTCTGTTCGAGATAGAAGGCTCTGCACGGTATGCACCAAGCACGATAATTAGTACTCCGCCTTCAGCTCAGCTGCAGAGAAATCTCCCGAGGCGGCCGCTCGAACGACGTGACGAACTTTTCGGTCGGAGAGGGTGGATGGACGCCCCCCCTTTCTTCTCCCGCTCCCAGAGCACTGGAGGGCGTAGCTGACGCCATTCGGGAGCGCTTCAGACTCTTGGCGATACCACGAACGCTGCGGCCAGCCTCATGAAGGCCCTTCAGGTGGCCGCATTCTTCGTCGGAGTTGGGTGGACCTCGCCCCATAGTAAAGTAATATAATGAGGCCAGTTCCTGGAATACCCCAAATTCATTTTCATAGTGAAATTAAGTCAAACTTTTGTCCCAAAGTTTTGTCGCGGTGGCATTTCCAGATCGTAGTATGCCAGCCACCGGTAGTTCTCTGAAATCTAAGTCAGCGTCACAAGTCTCGTGTCGCCCTATCAAACTTCAGAAACATATCTAAATAGCACCGTCTAAGTCTACCGACTAGCCGAGCAATGGCTCAAAACGTGACTGTTCCAAACGTTTTTTCGCTGAGTGTATCAGCATTGACGCTCAAAACGGTGATGATGCACTGCCCAAGATGCTCAAGGTCGCAAGGAAGAAAGTGTCGGCATTTTCTGATCGAAAAAAAGGTTGAGGACTGTGCATTTGAGAGCTTCGAGGTGTCGGCTCATCCTTAGGCACAGAGTCATTCACCAAGCATGTTATCAGTTGTAAGCTAGATGGGCATGATTCGCAAGGTGCTAAAATTATGATGACTGATTTGGAAAATTCATAAAGATGTCATTTTGTTTGTAGTGGCCCGCAAAAAAATGATTTAATTAATTCCTTCTCTGTTTTGAGTAAGGATACATTTTGGGGGGAGGGGTCTTCATGTACACATTATGACATAATGCACTCGTATCCTACAGCACGAAACCTGATGAACACTTACTGTCCATGTTGACAAAGTCGCCATACATCTACTGACACTTTTTAACCGCTTTTTACACCGTTTTTTACGTATATACGTTTTTTGGTTTTTTCGTGTGTCTCTTTTTTTTTTCATTTTCTGTGTGTGGAGGAGATGATGCCAGTTTATGGCCGTCAACCTGTGCATGTACACAAAATATACACAAACTTCTCGTCTGTGTGAGTGGCGCACAAGTCAATTGACCTCCTCTGTATCATGGCGGTGCGTCCATCGTAAACTATGCATCACAGCTTGTCAATTCACAGCAACTAACCTCTGCTGAACAGGCGCCACATGACCCGAAGCGCGTAATTTACCTGGAGGACGACGCTGCGTACGACAAGTCGCAGTTCCTCATCCCGCACCACTACCTGGACAGTGTCGAGTCGGTGCTGATCCCCAAGGGCCTGATCGAGGACCGCGTCGAGAAGTTGGCGCAGGATATTCGCTACGCCTACGAGGGCAAAACCGTGCACCTTCTGTGTGTGCTAAAGGGCGGCAGCGCCTTCTTCCACGCTCTCGTCGAGAAGCTCCGGTTGTTCCACAAGTACAACAAGTGCGACTACGTGCCCTTCACCTTCGACTTTATCCGAGTCAAGAGCTACGAAGGCACCAAAAGCACGGGCAACGTGCAGGTTTCCGGCGCCGATTTGGCCAAATTTAAGGGCAAAAACCTGCTTCTGGTCGAGGATATCATTGATACGGGTAAGACTATGGCCAAGCTCGTGCCCATGCTCATGGAGTACGAGCCCGAGTCGGTGCGTGTGGCCAGTCTACTGGAGAAGCGCAACCCGGAGAGCTGCGGTTTCCAAGCCGACTTTGTGGGCTTCAACGTCCCCGACAAGTTCGTGATCGGATACTGTCTCGACTACAACGAGATCTTCCGTGATCTAGACCACATCTGCATCATTAACGAAGCCGGTATCGCCAAGTATGCCTCCATCTCCTAGACAGAAATGACGTGACCTATATACACGTGCTGAGGACTAGAACAAGCTCAGCTGGTGCTGTGAAGCTGCTTTTTCTATATATTTTCAGTGTCAATTGCACGTCTGTAGCTGCAGAGCTGTGTCGAAAGTCTACTTGCTCTGGAACTGCTCGGGTGTCATGGTTCGGATGGTCAGGCCGTGCATACTCTTGATCTCCTCCTTGAGAATCTACAGCCACAACGTTTCAGCTTCTTCCACTGTAATACACTGTAGTTCTTACTGTTAAACGCACCGCGTTGACCATGCGGTGCTGCTTTACGCGCGACTGGCCCGCGAACTGAGGTGATGCCACCTCCACGTCGAACATGGAGCCGCAGCCACCAGACACGTCCGTCACCTTGACGTGCACCGCATCCAGCTGCTTCTGCAGTGCCGCGTGCATCGCCTGCTCCGCTTCTGTGCCTGATCCATCCGCACTCGACGCGAATTGCGCCACGCGCCCCAGCAGCGGGCGCTTAGCCGCCATCATCCGTCCACGCACTGCACTCAGCATTTTGACTTGATCAACGTAAGCGTGTGGCCACCGGAAAAGTGAGGCTGTTGCAGCATCTGATTCCAAACGAATCAGTTGATTCTAAAAAAACAAGCCGTTAAGATGAATGACGAAATAGTGGCATAGAGCTCATTTTGAAATGACTAAAACAATTTTCTACTATAAATGCTTAAATAATGACGTAATCTTTTAAGTACAATTGGGATGCTCCAATCGGATGCATCCGTACAACTTGACGCATTCTACTGCACCGCTTCCAGGACACGTAAGCGCTTGCTCCCCATGTTCTTCTGTAGCGGGCCCCCGCGTACGTACGCGGCGTTGGCGGCGCCCGAGCGGATGGAGGATGTGGTGCTGGCCATGCACCCATCGCAGTGCGTGTTCGCACGCGTGACGAGCTCTCATGTGGCGCTGTGGAGCGCCTCATTGGGTCTACCAGGCACAGGACGCCGTCTGCTAGCGCGTTGTCGCCGTGGTGGCCAGTGGGTGGACCAGCAGCTGGAGGACGAAGCACAGACGAATGAGGACGAAAATGGACGCTTGAGGGAGAGTGAAAGTCGCCAGCTTTGGTCTGCGTGGGTCTGTGGGGACCGCCTTGCCGTCGTGGAAAAGGATTCGCAATCCGTCGAGTTCTACGCCTTCGATGGGCTAACTAAGCTGCTGCAGCGCGCTGAGACACCCAACTCGCACTTGGCGGAGGACCCTACGGTAGATTCCAACGCCATGCTGGACCAACCGTCGTTCACGGAGCCCGAGCAAGAGGAGGGAGATGGGCCAACGGCAACTTCAAAGGGACTTCAACTTGTCGCCAAGTTTGTTGAAGACTACCCGCTCAACCAAGGCGCGTCGCAGAGTGATTACGAAGACGTTGCCGCCTCCATGAGCGTCGTGCCTGGCAGCAAGTACGTGTTCGTGGGCATGGCCAGTGGCCTCATCTGCGTCGTGGAGGTTGCTGACTCGCGCGACGCCAGTGACAGCCAAAGCTCGTGGTTCAGCAACGCGGATAGCTCTACAAAGCTGTGGAAAATTGATGTCCGCACTCACTTGGCAGTACCCGACGACGCCGATCCAGTCAGTTGCTTCGATCTCACATGCGCAACTGCGGATCCCGTTTCCAAGATTACGTCATTGTATCTTGTAGCAAGTTTCGAAGGCGGAAAGTGTTTCATCATGTTGCTGTCACCCTCTAAAAAGAGTATCGACCAGCTGCTATCCCTAATTAACACCGAACGAGAAGGTAGTGCGGCCACTTCATCCGGACGTTGCACGACGACGAGTTTGGACGCTAGTGGGTCGCGACTCGCTCTTGGCTGGTCGGACGGCGGAGTGTCGCTGTTTCGATTATCACTAAACAACGTGGAACAAAGTAGGACGACCAAAAATGGGGTCCAAAAGGAAGCGAAGACCCAAACGGCTCTAACACTTGACCCAATTCGAGAATTGAGTCTTGCAGCGTGGGGATACACTCCCCAAGACGTCGGATCTGTTACAGCCTTAGCGTGGTCGCACGACGGCCGCAGTGTGGCTGTGGGCTACGAATTACGTGGCTTTTCCCTATTTTCGACCGATGGTTGTCGCTTAATGTCGAGTTTACCGCAGCACAACCAGGAGAGACCGGAGAAGGTGGACGAGTACAATATGAGGGAAGTCTGTGCCTTCGGAGTCGTCGCTTTGCTGTGGACAAAAGTGAGCAACTCGTTGATGATCGTGCCTCGCGGAGAGCAGTCGACGCAGTTAATTCAATTGCCAGAAGACGAAATTTTGAGAGAAATCGAGAGCGAAGCCGACGTGGAAGTGACAGAAGTGAAAGATTTATATGAAACTGTGGAGGCCAAAGTGCAGAAAGCACAGGACGGACTGTGTTTGTCGCTCTCGGGGGCCCCTGGACGTTGTGGGGCATGGGTTCGAAGCGACAAAAGCTTCACGAAACGAGCGGATGGCGGTATTGGACCAGCCGAGGCGTGTGGTTTGATCCACGGTGGTGACTTATTGGTGGGTATTAATGACAATTTGAAGGTCGTTAACTCACCTTTTGAGCAGATTGTGACGGAGATCAAGGAATTACCAGACAACGAGGAGGTTTCACTCACTTTTATGCGCTTAAACTGGGAAAAGGTGTTCCCTTTGGCAGTCGAGGCCTTGTCTTCATCGGAATTTATGGATGCGCATGGGATTCACCTGATTGAAGACGAAAATCTGTGTGTTCGAGAGTACGCACTGCGTATGCAGGCTTTACATGGAGACTGCGACTTAGAGGAGCGTCCTCCGCTTATGGAGTTCGAACGACGTGCGAAATTCGACGGCTGGGAGGCGATTCAAGGCACGTCGTCTCGTGTTGCAAGGCACAAGTACGTGAAGCTTCTGTTCGCGTTGTTCCCGGTGTGGAATCCGAACCACTTTTTGAACGTCGTCACCGACTACTGGAACGCTGTTCTAGCTCAGAAAGTTTACATGACCAAGCAGAAAAAACTCAAGGAGTTGCATGCGCACCGTCAACTGGTTAAACTGCGTCCAGCGCCGTCGATTGCGTTCGCAGAGTTCGATTTCGCTAGAAATGTGCCACTTTCCGGTGGCAAAACCTCTCGATTGGCATTACTGGAGAGCAAGAGTGTACGCTTAGTGGCTGCTCCGTCGCTGGATGACCCCTGCGCTGTTACGTCCTGTGTGAACTGGAGTGTACCGACCGAGTTTGAGAGGTGTTGTCCTCTGCGTCTTGTAGCGCTGAGTGCTAGTGGGAACCACATGGCCGTGGCAGGACAACGAGGCTTTTGTCTGCTTAACGTTGTGACGGGCAAGTGGCGTATGTTTGGCAATGTGAACGACGAGCAGGACATGTTCGTGTACTCGTTATTATGGGTGGGAGAAGACGCGATTGCGGTGAATTTCACGCGGTTTAGCGAGAAACACCAGTCTTTACACTTGCAGGCATACCCGAGGAACCATTTGGACGAGGAGTCCATCTTAGAGCAGCTAGTGTTCGCTCGAGAGGGGGAGAACGCTGCTCGCAGTCGGGATTCAACGTTAGGAGGACGTGACGACGCTGACGACTGTTTCTTTATTATGGAGAGTGATAGTGCGCAGAAGAACTTGTTTTGCGTCTCGAGAAGCGAGTTGTGGTGTTTTGAATTGACGCACGGGGGCACTATTAAGAGCAACGACCTGAACTTGCATATTCAGCTTAAGAGACAGGTTAACTTGCCGTCCAGAGTAGTCGAGGCTCAACCTGTGGGAACGTGCAGAAGGAACGCGATCCTGGATTTCGCTGTGTTGCCGCGATTTTTACACATTCAAGACGAGAAATTACGCGAACAACAGCAGAGAAAATACCAATTGGAGCGCGAGCAGGAGCAGGAGGAAGCCGGATGGCTCTCGAGCTTTGTGAATATGCTCGCTGGGGGAGAAGTGCCGGACCAATACACGCCCGAAGAAGTGCTGCCGAGGTTCGCGTTCCTCGACAGCATGGGTGACGTGATCGTGTGGGACCCAGAGAACCGGTCGCAGCGACTTTTGTGCTCGAATGTGAGCACCATGGCGAGGTTGTTCGTCACTCCTCAGGCCTGTGCGTCCTGGCCAGCGCCGTGTCGACTGATCTATGGTCTGTACGGCCCGGAAGGCATGAAAGTGTGGCTTCCTCTGCTGGATGGCGTGTACATGACGCACACGAAGGCGTTCGAACAGGACGGTCGACGACTGGAGACTTTTTTGGCTTGTCATGACCCTCTGAGAGCCAAGACGTACGAGATTGAGTTCGGTACGGCGCCTGCTACTGCCGAGTTGTATGAACAAGTGCTCAGCGAGTATGGGATCAGATTGGACGGGTTTCTATCGAGTGGTGTCGGAGTGGGCGTGGGCACGGGTAGAATGCCGTTGGCAGAGGGATATTCCAATCTCCGCGGCTGCGTGACGTCGGCGGACGATCCTTCGGCTAAGGACCGCATGTTACGCTTCGACTACGACGTCAACGTTGTGGGCGTTGAGCAGGCTTTCGGTCTGCTGGTTGGCGTCTCCCAGGACGTGTATGTGCCTTCAGGGGTTTATATCCCGTGTTACGATATATTTGCACGGGTGCAGCCGATTTTCCACACGTTATTGTGCTTTTTGGTGCAGAACGACCAGTTGTCATGGGCGCGTCTGGTGCTGAACGGAGTGAGGAAACAATTCGCCTTGTCTACCCCCACTCTGGAGCTTTTCCTGCACGCGATGCTCGAAGCTTGTTATGGGAAATCATGTCCGAAAGAAAAACTACACACAGCTATCGAGCTTTTACGAGGTGGTAGTGGGGAATTCGAGACGGATATTGCGGAATACTGCGAGATTGTGGCCCACGTGGCTCGGAAGAGCGAACCTTCTCGACTTAAAGTTTTGTTCCCTGCGGCGGGAGATCCGATGGATTTGCTGGCGGTTTGTCAACAACGCTCCGAGCTTCGTACGGCTGCCAACTTTTTGCTTATTCTTGAGGAATGTTCCAGTGCTTCGGGTTGTTCCTTGCCCTTGCGGATGGAGAGCGCTGCTGAGTTGTTGACGCAGTGTATCGATCAGGAGGAGTGGGGACTTGCGCAGCATGTGGTGCGTGTAGCGAGGGACTGGGAGCACCACTCGGAGCCCAGTGCCGCCAGTATCGACGAACAACTGGCGTCTCTAGTGTGGGAAAACCTGGTTCGAGGGGAGTACGAGCGTGTGGTTTGGTGCGTGGAGGATCTACAGGCCAAGCTCCCGCTTAAGTCGGTGGAAGAGAGGGAGACGGAGGACAGTGCGACGATCCTAGACCGTCTGTATCAGACGTTTATCCAGGGCAACAAGCGGAGACAACTGAGGTGAGTTGTCGGCACGTTGGGTGTGGTGGTGGCTATATCTGACTTATTTCTTAATGTTTGTTCAGGATCTTGCTGCAAGCTGTGACGGAGGCGCATTATGATGAGTGGGTTGCGCGTATCAAGCACGTAATGGAGCAATGAGACTGAGATGAGACCAATTGTACGTGCGTGTACGCATTGACGTGACTAGAATGAAACAATGGATTTTTTTTCAGAGCAAAACCTTGTAAAATGTGTGATTTATTTATGATGCAGGGACACGATACAACACACGACACCAAATCCGCCACGTTTGGTGGCAAATCTACCCACGATCCAGCTGGCGTTTACTGTGTATTTTGAAGTACATACTAGTAGCACTCTCCTTAGCAGCAACACATGGGCGTCGCCAGTAGATGCCTACCAGGATCAAAATCTGCGCACCCGGAAATCGGCCGACGCCGAAGATAGAGGAATCGTATCGTCCGTGAAGTCGTGGTGGAAAACAACGTCTTGGGTCCTGGAGGGACAATCAGACGAGTACGTTAAAAACGTGCTGGATCTAACGGGGTTGGCTGAGAGTGCGATGAAGGCCAGCCCAGGTTACAGGAAATACCAGAAATACCTGTACAATGCTGAAGAAGAGAAATTGGACGAGTTAATTAAGCAGAAAATGGTTCCCCCGACATACTGGAAAGACCTCGGATTGGATAGAATGAGTCAGAGTCAACGTGAAGGAAGCAAGGAACGAACATTTCGTGTAAAAATACGATGACCTGGTTTTCCGAAAAGGCTACAAGGAATATCTCCCTACAACCAAACCGGAAATGGATGTCTTCGTGAAGGTGTGGGCCAAAACTAAGAGGCCTGAGGCCTACGTTCTGAAATACCCCAATTTGGATCGCGGCAATAACAAACAAATCTTCCATCATCATTGGGTAACCGTTTGGAAGACTGAAAAGCAGCTACAGAAGCTTGACAAATTCCAGTATTTGAAAAAGTTCAGGGAACTAAAACTAAAACGCGAATGGGGCTTTTTGTAGACCATTCCCTAAGCTATTAGTGTTTTTGCGGGGGTTCGTTTGCAGCTGAAATAAAATGACCTTGATTATATCGAGCAGTACTTAGTAGGTTTTGGATGCTAACTACGGCAGTCGATCCAGGCAGGTGCTGTTGTTCAGATGTAGCGAGTCACCATATTCTACCAAATAATTTAACTTAAGTATTATACAACATAAAACTCCATTACATATATTAAACCGATACATGTACTTGGGAATGGAACGTTAACCCAATTAGAACGATTGTGTCAAAACAATTTTTTTTTAACAATCGTTCTAGGCATTTCTCTACTACATCGATGTCCACGTTATCAGCTAGATTGATCAATGTCCACAACGACGGCGATGTCCGTTTACAGCCTGGTAAGGTGATCGATGCAGCCGAAACTGATAATCTCAATTATCGGGATTTCTAGGCTGCTCCTGAGAATAAAACAGGATGCAGTAGCAGTTTCCTGACGTGATGCGTGCGGAACAACGAAACAGGATCACAACTTGTGATCTTGTTTCGTGTGAAACCCAGCATAAGCCACCGCTAGTCTCCATAGACTTCGCGATGGTTCTTGCGCGCTGTTCGTTCATGTTGCGCTAGATGTGACTCAGTACGGCAACAGAAGATCCAGAACTTCGTATTTTACAACGCCATGACAGAATAAGGCAAAGTGGCACATGACGATCTTTGACTTTGAAGATACCCCTGTGAAGCTCGTGCGTCGCTCATATAAATCACTGTCGCCCTCCCCTGTGTATTGCAGTTTACGAGTCCAAGAGCGTCGCATTAAGCGACACTCTTTATGCGATGACGCCAGTGTCATGCGTCTGGAAACAATCCTCTCCACTCAAAGGTGGAAGAAGTCCAGGGCGAGGGCAAGCCCAATAGTGCCCTTGAAGGGCTCTCTAGCAACAGCGGCTATCTCCAACAAAGACGCGAAGAGCGCTTCTTATACCCAACAGCGCCGACCACGCCTGTCCTCACAGTGGCTCACAGTGGAGATTACGACCACAACACGGCTTCAATCTTCGATTCGTATTATTGTCCGTAACACACTTTTCGCCAGTTTGCAGCGAGTGGTACGTATGCCGTTTTGTCTAGGCGTGACCAAGCAACGCCACCTCATTTGCACCTCTTCACTTGAATTCTACGCTTGGCGATCTCTGTACTCTGCAGGAGAGCATGTTTCAACGCGTGGATTTTCAATAGCTACACCCGGACGGTCGCACCTCGTTGGTTTATCCTTTCCAGTCGAAGAGCTCATGTGAAGTTTACTACGATATGTTGTTGTTGAAATCTCGCCCTCATTCAACGAGGACAGTAACTGTATTGGATTCATGCGCATCTAACATGTAGGTTAATAGTACACTTAAGTCACTCACGAGAGGACACCATGGGATAGTCTAGTCGGAGGTGTCCATGCAGTCAAGTGGCAGCCGAGCGAATGCACGACCGGCCTCTGTGAGTTCGACGCCACTGCTGCTGCTGTTGCAGAGCATAGTCATGACCTTGGCGGCGGCCTCATCGTCGGAAGCATCCGACGATCGGGTGCTCGATAGAGACCGACTGCGGCCGCGACCTGAGGGTGAGCGACCGGCTTTGGCACGCTCCAGCGCGCGCTCCTGACGGATACGCTGTGCGTCCTCGCGCGAGATGGCCGACCAGTTGATAGCGTTCTTCTTGGACTTCATAAGGCGGTAGGGCCAGACGATACCGAGGCGCCGGCAGTTGCGCTTGACGGTGACCGTGGCGACGCCGAGCTGCTGCGCGGCCTCGCGTTGCGACATATGGAAGTACTTGGCCATCTCCTCGGTGGTGAAGTCAAAGACGACGCGACTCTTGCGCGCTTTCTTGTTGGGACTGACAACCGGCAGTGCACGATCCTTGCTGTAGGTCACGGTTGGAGAGGCCAGTTGCGACGGAGACGCAGTGGGCGTCGTGGTCGAGAAGGGGTTGATGGTCACATTGGGGCACGAGTGTCGTTGACGGATGGCCGCCCGGCCGCAGTGCAGTGGGTGCGCGACGCTGAAGGTGCTGGGCGCCGTGACGCACACGGGAAACGGTGACATGCTGTTCATGACGGCGGACGTTTTGGTGTGGTTTGTAGCGAGTTGCTTGCGTGTGGGGCCTCAGGCGAATTCGCGAATGACTTCTTCCGACCGCTTTGAATATTTCGCCGGCCGCCGCAAGGGGAACTCGGGAGTGCAAGCCCCGCTCCGGACGGCGCTGACACGAGCGGCACTGGCACCAACCGGCCATCGGCTACTTTCCTCTCGTCATCGCCTGTCTCGCTCATGGCCAATCTTAGTCTGCAGACGCGGCGCCCCCGAGTCTAGCAGCGGTGTGTGGATCTGCGTCGGCGGCGACGCTTCTGGACACCACAACTGGCGACAAGTGAGCCTGCCACACGGGACTTGAGCCCTTTGAAGTTGGAATAAGAAAAATAAAGATCGCTTTAACACTTCGCTGTTGCAGAGCCTGGCCGCTTCCACCGAACTCAAAAGTGGCCGCAATCGCTGTGATAGTGCGTCCAATTTGGACAGAGGCAGAGGCGATAATCGCGCCGCTGTGGGCTAGCATTCTCCCGGCAATGGCAAGCAGTGGGAGCCGACACAGCTACATCATGTAGTACATGTACCGCCTGCCCATTACTAGAAGAAATGCCTCCGTCGACAGATGATTTGGCGGTCCGTTCGCGTCGAACGGACCAGCGACACACCTCAACTGACCGATTCGGAGTGGCAGCACGCGCGTCAGACTGTGGAAGCGTTCGGGGTATTTAACAGGAACATTTTGCCCGGCATGGGATACTTCCTCTCTCCCTCTCTAGCTACTCTGACTCAGTCAGTGACCTAGTGACTCGTACGCCTGGAATGTCGCGCCGCGGCAGTTCGCCGAAAGGAAAAACGTTTCGGTCGTCGCACCGATGCGTGCGGAATTTGACGATGTCCACCAAACAAGATGAAGTGTATTAGATATTCGGAAACTATCCACTTGAAACGCCACGCCGGGCCTGTATGGCTTGCACCAATACGTTGGAATCGGATCCTGCCTTGAGTTGGCGGCGCCGAATCGGCTTCAATATGGTTTCGCGTGCCGGTTTCGGCGTCACCGTTTGGACTTGGAGTTTAAGACGAGAGCCATCAAGACGTTCTCGGTGGTCAGCTCTCGAACTTTACTACAATTCGGTGTCTTTAACTCCATGCCACTCGCGGTTATCTCCGTGCCCACCCACGCAGTTGCAAAACAGATCGAGCACTGGCGTTCTCGTCACGAAGGCATCAGATGAATGCGGGGACATGGCTGAAGTGGCCAGCTCCAAGAAGTATGCTGCACTCCTGCAACCAAACGCATGTGCGAGCGATGAAATTCGTTCGCGTTTCCTGGATTCTTTGAGTGAGTGC